ATGCTTTCTCCAATGGCTGTAGCCAATCGAACGGCAAAGGTTTCTTGTTCGATGTGACTGAAGCCGTTTTGGGTTTGATGGAGGCTGGCTTCGAACCTTTGGCCCTAGAGTTACCGAAGCTCAAAGCAGAGCCTGCCTTCTCTCCGCTCGCAGCTGGTTGATTGCTTGTGGGCTTGTCCTCTGTCTCAGGATCTTTTGCCCCTGTCGTAACTTGCATCGTGTCTTCGCCACCCCATGTATCGGACTGCCGGCCAGCGTCGCCTCCCCAACTGTTGCCCTGCTTACCGTTGTTGCCTGTAGTAGCTCCCCAATCATCGTTCTTTTTAGTGCCGTTATCTTCGGTCGCTCTCCATTCGTCGTTTCTTTGTTTCAAATCAATATTCTGGTTCCCTGCCCAGTCATCGTTATTGCCATTGGATTTATCGTTGGGAGGGTTCCAGGCACCGTCATCTCTCTTTCCATCATTGTTTGGGGCATCCCAGCTGGAGGCGCCGCCATTGTTGTTCCAGTCGTCGTTCTTCTCCTGAGACTGATCGCCACCAGCGTTCCACTCGTCATTCTTCTGAGCGTTAGGATTTCCAGCCCCTCCCCAGTCATCGCCGCTGTTTCCAGTGTCTCCAGAGGCACCCCAGTTATCGCCATTGTTGCCCTGATTCGGATCGTCGTTGCCTCCCCAGTCATCGTTTCTGCCCTGGTCCTGGTCATTGGACTCGCCCCAAGCCCCTGGAACATTATTCGGATTTCTTGAGACAATGGAGTCCTTCTTGCTGCCTTTCTTGCTTCCTGGCTTGTTCTTTGTCTCGTCTACTGTCCCCCAAGCTTCCACATGGGTCTGCGGCTTAGTCTCAGCGTCATCCGTGAAGTCTCCCGTGGGTAAATTGGCCGTCCAGGGATCGAATGCGGCTGGTAGTCCTCCATGTCCTTTTGAAGGCGCGTCTCCTTGCGTCCACTCCTTCAGCGCGGGTGGTCCGCCATTCCAATTTCTCATTGCCTCAGAAGAGGCGATCGAGTAGCTGCCAGGTCCTCCACCTCTGAGGTTTAGGGGGGGTGCGTTCTCCTGATCCGTTATGCTTCGAGGTTGGCCGGAGCGGCCACGTCGAGGTCCAGCAGGAGATTGGCTCTTCTGGAAGTCCGATTGGAAGTGGTCCCGAGACTCGCTGCGTTTATCCCATCGTTTAGTCTTCTCCAGAGCGTTGCTGCTATTGGACCCTTGGCCCACAGGATTCCAAGTTCCTGTGTTCTCACTTGTCATCTCAATTCTGCCCATTTTTGGCTCGTCAAGGGGTGGCGGTGGTGGGCCCCAGTCATCCCAACCCCCATCTGGGCCGAAAGTCTGAGCCTTGCACCCAGACTTTGACATTGACTCGAGTTGAGGATCGCTTGCCCCATCGAAACGTCCCGGCGTAGACGGTTCATTACCGTCAGAGCTCTCGTCTGGAAAGGGCTTGTTCCCAATGATGGGCCGCTTATCGGAGGGATGGCAACGAAGTACAACAACTTCAATGGTGCCGACGTATTCGCCATCATGTGGAGGCCGTTCGCCATCTTCGACAGACGAATCAGGGACTAGAGCATTGACATGAGCAGTCGGAAATTCAATGGTCAGATTTCTGACTGACCTATCTTCACCTTCTCGAACCCCCACTGCTTCCCCTCAAAAGTACCATCCCATAGAAGTTCTTCCTTCTGACGTACAATGAAGTCAACTTCAAATTTCTTTCGCGAGGTGTTTTCGTTCGGGATCTCTAGATTGCGTCGATTGCGGTTGCATTGATAAACACCATCCATCTAGAGACAAAAAGAAATTAGTGTAAATTAGTATTTAAAACAACTCGAATCAAACTTACGTAAACAAAGACAGCCAAGCCAGGCGCGATGTAACCGTGTGACCGCAAGTGTATGGAGAAAGGGGTCGGTGTTGAGGGAACGGCGATGAATGTCTCGACGTAGCCATCGGCGTAGATGGTGTGGTATTCTTGCAATGGGAGTCTCGAGCCTGCCCACTCCACATTGCACGTGAGTTGCTTGAGGGTAGGCATCATAAGTTTTCTGTTGCAATTGGCCTTGCCAAGCGCGTTGCTGATCAAGAACTCGCAGTCTTCACAGCATCGGTCCAGGAAGTCTTGATACTAATTGGCCTCCTTGAATTGTGGAGACGATGACTTGTTTGCGGTGGTCAAAGTTGATGGGTCTCCGCGTGTTGTTGTGTTGATGGATTTCCGAGTCATAGGCAGCGAGTACGCAGTACTTTCATCTACTCAAGTTGCAATTTGAAACTGCAGATCAATGAGCAGAAATGTGATGTAAATCAGAGTCGAGCTCAGCAGAACAATCGGCTCTCCAAGGGTACGTATTCCGGCTCTCGGTTGATATATGTCAACACTTCAAAACCCAAATGCGCGATTAGTTGCCCTGTGCCTAAGACCAAGAAAGCGAGGCTTTAAGCAAGGAAAGAAAGGAACGTCGCTCTTAAATGAACGAGGTAGAGCACGAGTTCTGCTCTGTATCCATCTAGAATCACGTAGGCGTGGTCTTCATTCCTCGACCACGAGATGCAGACAAAGGCCGGCCAAGGTCGCTCAAAAGGTCATTACAACAGCCCACTGTCCTGCGAAATCGTCCGCGGTCACGGTAGCAAGCGTCTCACCAGGACTGGATAGCACAATCTTTCTCTAGTATCGTTGAGCTCATCTCGGCTGTATGCCATTCTACTCGAGGTCATACGAGCAGTGGGAACCACTGCTCTCTTCTCAGAGTTCGTGTTCGTAATGCCGCCACGTTGAGCACTTCTCCACAAAGTACGTCTGATCTATCTTGGAAGGTACAGGTGCAGATTCAAGCAGCTCCGCAGATGATCAGAAAATACGTCCAATATTGTATCAAGGTTTTGTTGACCATGTAACAATGCTTTCATGTCCGACGCCCGTTAGATTTCAGGCCCATGCAGATGCCGTCTCACCAACGCCAGAGTCCGTGCCTCTATTTGTTATATACAAGGAAATTCTTGAAGTTGTCCCAGTAATCTGAGTCCACGTATCTGGATGGCAAACGTTAGCCTATTTAAGAAAAAGGAGAAGTAGTCCCCAAGGTCTCTGATTCGGAAGGTTGTAGGGCACTAGGAACTCCACCTGAGGCGTTCTCGGAAGGGAAACGGTCACGTACATGTACTGCATACTGCTCCTCAGACTCGGCTGAATAGTAGCCGGATACCATCTGAAGATCCACATCACCGCTGCCCAGCTCAAACTTGCAAAGACTGGCCATGCATTGCCCTCCACCTTTTCTCTCAGCTCTCTTCCCATTCCCACACCTCCCTGACTCTTCCTTTGTACCGTCAGCTTGGCAAGTGCAAGCATGACTCTGGCGAAGACGTATATGACAATCTGCTGGTTGACGCTGCTTTGTATACCACGCCCGAAGACGGTGTAGCCGCCTATCAGGCCGGCGAGGAAGGTGTCAAACGAGCGTTCTTTCCCTGTGGGAGATGTACGGCGAAGACAGATCATGGAGAATTTATAGACAACAGCAAAGGAGGCTAGGTTGCGGGCATGGGTGCGGGTGGCTTTGTAGATTAGGTGGAGTTTCTCTCGGACACTGTAGAGTAGTCAGAGATGATGCTGAATCTTAAAGAGGGACAATGACGTACGGGTCCGAACGGAAGAGGAAGACCATGCTATGAGAGAGCTATTAGTACAAGATCGTCGCTAGCCAACGCGTATCCAAAGGTGTAGCTCCTACACAAGGGCGTGAGGAAATCGGACTTTGGCCCCGTAGACGGCACCATTGCGGGCTGCTTTGACGAGGGCCAGGTAATCGGCATATTGAGGATTGAGAATGATGTTATTGACGGTCTCCTGTACCATGTCAGCTGAGGCCGATTGACATGATCGAGGCGATGTATGTACTTTGACAGCGTCCATAGCTGATTAGGCTAGGGATCAGCGCACACAGCGGGGACTGGAAAGAAATGATATGAGTATGTCTTGCGGATCATTTCCTCTGTTGTGGAGAGAACCAATGGGCAGGGAAGAAAGCGCAGCCGTACAATGGACAATGGGCGTCGTGTGAAGATGCGAAAGTGTCTCTTAAAGACCTCGGCATGGTCGATCCCCACTACCCCTGTTTTCTTAATCATTGGGAAACTAAAAAAAAATGTGCGAATTTGACACCCCCCCATAATCAAAAATCAAAAATTTGAATTTTCCTGTATAACCTCACCACCACTTGTTTTTACAGTCTAAAAATTTTACGATATCTACTTATTATATTAAGTAATCTATCTCTAAATTTTAGAAAGATTTAGATTTTAATCTTATAAGTGAAATATAAAAAGTGAGAATATATCGCGAGCTTGAAAAATTTACCTCGGCTATTTTTTTTACCGCCAAGACTATCTTAAAAAATCTAAGAATTTATTAAATCTTTATTCTATAATAAAACAAATAATTAGAATCTTTTAAAATTCGATATTCTTAATCTCTTATATAATTATTAAAATCTAGAGTTTTTTTAGAATATTATAAGTTATCGTTGTGGGGTTATTTAAGAAAAGCACTTTTTTTGTTTTTTGAAGGGGGGTGCCAAAATCGCGATTCTAGTTTCCCAATGATTAAGAAAATAGGGGTACTCGTACAAATATACTCCGTTGAGCCGCACTACGACGACTTCTTCCAAGATCTACTGTATCTTCTCCAGATGGAGACCATGTCTCAATACTACAATTACAGTCCGAGCAAGAAGTGTACACTTTCAGCCGAACATACTGCAAGGGTACAGGAGCACTATAGTTGTGTGAAGTAATGCTTTGTTTCCTGGCTTGTTCGACCATTTCCTCCAACGACTACCATAAATCGTGCCGTTCTCCAAGTCTTTGTCTATATTACATACACCGAAGTTGGGTTTCTGCCCCCAGAATGTTCTTCATTGACCGGCAGGGCAAACACCTCATAACATCAACGAAAAAAGAAGAGAAGCAACCGCGACGTCTCCGAATCATTCTTCTATTCTTCATCTAACTGCATCATCTCGTTCATGCCCAGCTGCTGTGCTAGATCGGTACCTCGACCGGACCAAGTCGTCGGTTGAAATGCAGGCAGAGTTGGAAGGTCAGAGAATAAGCTTCCGCCCAGACTGGAACAAGGACGAGAGTCGAACAAGGCGAAGTCAGCGGCGGGCTTTCCGGCGTTGGTGGCGAAATCCCCATAGCCTTCGTCGACAATCTCGTTGTGGTAAGGCGAATAGAGCATCTGATTTCCTTGGGCGCCAGGGGAGAGGTTGGGATTCTTGGTGCTTCGAGGCTCTTCCACGGAGATGGAAGGATTACGGCTGTAGACATGGAGGGGACGGGTCTCGATCGACAGCGGTGACGTAGTGTCGAGTTGAATGTTCATGGAAGTGAGGTCTAGGCTGCTAGAACTCAAGTCCAGATTGCTCCAGTCATAAGTGCCACCAAACAGTGGTTCCATCTCATACGATGAAGGGGCGGTTGGGGCAGTGGTGAGAGAATCCATGGAAAGTCGATGAGAATTCGGGGTATAGGACTGTGGAGTGAGGCGATTGTACGAATCACCCCAGCTGAATGTGGGTTCGTATGGAGTGATTGTATCATTTGCGCCCAGATAAGGTGACTCCAAATTTGACAAATGGCTGGATCCGTCACCAGGAGATCCATCAGTCGAGGGGGGCACGCTGTAGTGGCTTATGTACGGACTGGATGAGTCCCCACCAAACTCGGAACCAGATGCGTCAAAGATGTACGAATTTGGTGTAGCAATCTGGGGAGTTGGCGGCGTTTTGCCAACTTTGGAGGGTTTCCTCCCGCTCTTGCCATTGTTCTTGGACCGAACATAAGCCCAGCCATGGGCCTTTTCCATGTGCTGCTTACAATTGCTCTCTCGCTTGCTCTCATAGGGGCAAGGGCGGTATTGGCACTTGTACATATTAGGGGCCATAGAGTGTTTGTCATTGACGTGGCGATCCCGCTCCTTTTCCGTAGGCCACCCGTACTGGGAGTATTTGCAGCTAGGCTCGTTGCACTTCCAGGGCCTCGAGTGAGTCTTCTCATGCTTGGTCAGGTCACAAGGGCGTTTGAACTCCTTCTCGCACTCGCTGCATCTTTGGGCTTGCTTGGCAGCCGCTTGTTCCGACTTGCGGCGTCGAGCCATAGAGTAATGCAGGTCGTCCTCTGGCCCCACGATTGAGTCTGATACGACGACTTCTCCGGTGCGTAAGGAAATCGCCTGGCCGTCCTTGGTTCTCACAAGCTCGGCAGGACGACCTGTACAACCCAATCCGCCGTGTAGGCTAAGCTGTTCATCGCTAGTGATGTTCAGTATGATGACTTCGCCGTCTTGAGTGCCGCCAACGTACGTAGTATAGCCGTTTTCCTCCCTTTCCTTTCCGGCTGCAGCCCTCTCTCTGGAGGCGGTAATCATTGCTGCGTATTGGCGAACCTGTTCGGTGAGATCGAGAAAGTAACCGTTAGAATAGGGTCTGTCGGTTGATCGTTGTTGATCTGATACGTTAAGATGCTGAACGGTCGTATGTAAACACTGGATGGACGACTCGCAGAAGTTGAGGAACGATGACCTAGATACGGAGTATCTCTTTACGTGGACACCCAAACAATGAGCCAAACTCCTTTCCCAGACATGACAAGAACCACTTACAGGCGCCAGCCAAAGGATGACTTTCTCTAAATCTCGCAGACATGTAATCTGCTTCTGGCCCACACGGTATGGAATGCTCTTGACGAGTTGGTGGAAGGCTTTGAGTGTCGGCTCTTTGGTGATGGGAACGATGATGTATCTCTGAATTTGTTCGCAAGCGTATTCGCTCAGTGCATGCTGTGTTCTGATGCGAGCATCGATACCGGACGGGGCATATCCGTTGATTCCAGACCGCACACCGGTGTTAGTGGAAGGTCGTGGGCTATTTCCTTTGCTCAAATTGTCGGCTGCTTGTACATAAGTCTTTGTTGTTGTAGATGAGGTAGGGTAATAATGCTCTCGCGTACCTGCATGATCTCCAGACAAAGACTCTTCGGCACTTGTGACTGAAGAACCCAGGCCACTGTCGGAGGTGTGGTGATGATGTGCTGCTCGTTGCTGAGGCTTAGAGAACGAAGGTTGATCAAGGGCGTCGTCGACGTCCATATGATCGGGGCCGTCGATGTGGCTATCAAGCATGAAACGAGGGACAGGAAGGTCCTCTTGACGAAGAGTTTCTTGACTGTCTGACGAAAACGATTCCAGCCCTGACAAACTGCGATCGACGACACCTAGAAGCCGCTGCATACGATGCTCGCCATTGGCGACAGCATTCTCCAGGTCTTTAGGGCATGTCGGTGATCTCCTGGACAGTAAGGGTATATTTAAGATCGGATCGTCATCGGACGAGGGTGACTTGGAAGAGTGGAAGGTGGCACTCTTCCTTAGCGGCAGGTTGGATTCGGGCGAGGGGTATGCATGGCAGGTGGATGAAGGTTGGCAAAAGGCGAAGGTGGGGGTGCCTCTGGTTTTGTAGCAACGGCGGGGGTTTGGATGTGTGGAAGTCATCCTGAGTGGTCAGGTGGATTCCGGACCAGAATGACTCGTACTTGAAGAAGCGGAAGAGTTAGCAAGTGAAGCATGGATTTTGCGTGTGTGAATGACTCACAGTTTGGTCCTTTTGAATCTTGGCGTGATTATAGTCGACCCGGGAAAAGTAAAAGCCAATTTTGGGCGGCTTCACGATCTTGTGCGCTCGATATGTGTTGAATATGGCGATGATGTTCTCGGAGGTGTCTTTTGCAGATGATGCAGGAACACGCAGGCTCCGAGGCTGTGAGAATATAGGAAAAGGGAATGAAGTCGGTACGTCAATGAGACTTGAGAGGTAGATGGTGGTGTAGTAATGGAGACTGCTGGAGTTGAAGGGGGGCTCAGTAGAGGAAGGATGTCGGTGTGGTAGGCTGTGCACGAATTGGAGAGAGAGCCTTGCGAGGTGATGGAAGGGTCAATTCAATACAATCAAGAGTTCAAACGCTTTCATATGAAACAGAAGCTCTGGCAGAGGCAGCGAAAGGTGGTGGATATTTCTTCATTCTTGGTGGAAAATAGATGGGATGAAAGAGCAGAGGTGTTGACTTGAAGTGGTGGTGAAGCTCCAGGCAGCAGTGACGGACGGGCGAGAATGACCTGTCGGGGGGAGTGTCAGGTTAGTAATCAAGTAGGACCAATGACCGATGGCGGGGTAAATTTAATTGGACGGTTGAAGGATTTTGCCCGACAGGGTTCACCGCTGATCATCCATGGTTCTCTCTGCCCTACCACCCTATTTTAACATGTAAGGTGTAAGGTACTTTACTCAACGGCGCTACCTTATTTACCTACATTATTCGCTCCGTCAACCAAAAAATCAAATTCCCTCAACTTCATTTGCCTCAAACCTGGCATGGTGAATAAAATCTCTCTCTCTCTCCCTCTCCCTCTATCATTAGCATCTCCTCCGTACTACACTGATGATAGGCTCTTTCAATTGCCTCCCATTGGCTCTTTCAACGGCATCATGTTACGTATGAGCCTTTTAAGCCGATGAGCCTACACATTTCCTATCTTGGCGCTTGCGTGTTTTCTTCTGTTCCCTTTCACACTCCCCTGTACCTACTTCACTCCCGTCCGCCTTTTAAGATAGTGACGACTGCATAGTACTCGTCATCTTTTGCCTTTCTCATGCCTCGGTACGACAAGGATAGTGATCCCTCTTGACTCTTGACTCTCTCTCTCTCCTTTTATCCAATCAGGACGATGGCGGGAACTATCTGGCGCTGGAAAAGACGGCAGGCTTGCCCACCGCCTCGTATCTCATGTTCTCAATGCAGGAGGTATACTACTATTACTTTGCCATGCTGCTTCTGGAGGTGTGCAAAAAAACAGATGCCTCGTATTTGTGGTCCCCGTGTAGGTTGCAAGTTTTAGCGCAACACATTTCGTTATCTGGCTGTCCTGAAACTTGATCCAATGGGTCGAGGACAGAACCTCATGCTTGTGTGTTCTTGACGCAACCAAGCCAAGCTTTCACCCTTAAAGGTCTGGATAGAACTGTTCCCTGCCCGTGCAGTTGCAGGGTACCTATACTGCTTTGAAGGCACCAGAACCGGAATGAGCATACAAGAACAGTGATGCTTCTGACCACGGTATAGATTGTGGTTGCGTCAAAATCCTACATGGTGAAGACTTTCTGCGTAGCAGCACTTTGATATGCAGTCAGAGGAATTCATGAAATGAATTATAGATCCCACGAGTAATTGACCGGAAGAGTCTCTGGGGTACTCGGAGAGGCTATATTCGGTTAGTACTAGGGCTTAGCCCCCGATTATTTACAGAATGACGCGAATTGTCGCGTCGCTCAAATTTCTTCCAACAACTCAAGGCATCTACTCGCCACGGAATTTGGATGAGTCCTCATCCATTTCACTATCCTTACCCTTCTCCTCATCAATAGTATTCAGTCGCTTCAATCATACCTTATCCGCAGTACCCAGTACATTATCCCCCCTTTCCTCCGCATATCCCTTGTCAAGGACCGCCTCCTCTACCGGTTCATCCCTCAATGGCGGTACTTCTGCATCCGGCGCTCAGCCCAGCATCTGGCAATACGGACTCATTCTCATTGGCATGTGTTTCGCGCTCTCCATCGCGAGATTGACGGAGCTGACCGGTCTATAGTCCAGTGATGGCTCAATGCCCTTCAGCGGGTCCCGTAGCTTGCCTCCTGTAAGCCAAGTTTCAAAAGTGGTAGGGCAATCGCTGACTATCTCCAGGCTGTGGTTTCCCCTAAAAGTGCACCGTCCAAGCGACCCTTCTCAGCGATAGACTCACTCTCCGACTCGGACAATGGCTACGACTCAGATGATGCTCCCGTAACGGAAAATTGCGACGCCATACGACGCAAAATCAATAGCCTTATTAATAGTGGAGAGATGAAGGTGACAGAATTCCAGCGAGCTTGCGATATCAACAGTAACTCCTATGGAAGGTTTATGAAGTTGAAAGGCCCATACGCGGGTAACATGAATCAGACGTATAAAGCAGCTTTCCACTTCTTCGAACGTCGGAAGCGGGCTGGGATAAAGGAGCCTATCAAAAAGAAAGTCAAGAAGGACGAGGAGAGTCGGAAGCTCGATGTGTCGGGCGTTGAGCTCGAGGGAGAAAATGACGAGTCTGTCCCCGTCTACGATACTTGTGATGAGGTCCGTCGAAAAATCGCCGCATATCTCCGTGAGCCCAACGTCACGCAAGCCGGCTTCCTACGCGAACTCGCAAAGACTCTCCCGGACCCATCTGCAAAGTTGCAGTCGAAGCAGCTCAAGGACTTTCAAACCAAGAAGGGTGCCCTAGAGGGGCAGACATCGCGGATCTTTTACGCAGCATATGTATTTTTCGAGAAACAAAGACTCCAGCAAGGGAAGCCCAAAAGTAAGAAGAGAGAAGAGAATGAGAAGGTCTGGGGCCTGGAGGGAGGTATTGACACCAAGCGGAGGCAAAGCAATGTCTGGTGCCTTGCTGGAGAAAAGCCTTATATGGATAATTATGGTAAGACTCATGTTGCGGGGAAATTCTGAGGAATATGAAGATTTGCTCCGGGGTTTGTTTGGTTCTTTTTGCTGGATTTGGCAGTTTTTGTGGGAGAGTATTTGTCCAATCCCAACAAGTAAGCGTCTAGACTCTGGGAGAGCTCAGGGCCCGAGCCAAAGCCCTTGACTCCATTGCTTGAACAACGTTTGAGATTCAGTGAATTAAAAAGGCAGGAAATATATAGATCACCAGCCAGAAGCTGTGGATTGCTACAAAACGAAAAAAGCTAGTGAACAAGATCAGATGATTGTCATCACATGTGGCAAGTACCGGTAGACACATCGACACAATTTTGCGGTCAACCGCCTCAAAAGCTGATCGGATCTTTGGGGAATCTTAGCTTCAGACGGTAGCAGAGAACTCCAGGGGTGAACGACAGGTACACATGGTGTACGTACCTAAGGCAATCGGTGGGCAGTGACTGAGAAGCCTGACTCTGACTCGAAACGTCGCTGTTCTGGAGGACTCGTGGTTCGCTGGCTTGATTGGCTCACGGCCCTCGAATCGCAAGTCTTGGCGGTAGATGTTTCTTCACCAATGCTATGACTCCTGGCATTGTCTGGTCAATTTGCCTTGTATCACTATGGTATAGTAGCGGTTTGCCTGCAACATTGTTGTCCGACAAGTCGGTCGAGGTGTCTTTGTTCCCTACACGCGTCTCAATATCTTTGTCGAATCTGCCACAGAATACCATTGTTTCTGGCTGACTCCATTGTGCTCTGAGAGCATCGTGCGGTTTATTATTTCTTCACCTGATTTCTTCATCCCCTATATACATACTCAAGACCCACGAATACGTCCGTCTCACCCATTCACAACTCCAAAACTAAAGCAGGCACCAAAGCTAAAGCCATGTTTTCGCACCTCGTAGCCCCAGCGCTGGCGCTGCTCATCTTCACTGCTCTCGCTTTGCCGACTGTCGACGGTCTCCCCGTTGCGACTCTCAGCGAGTCCCAGCTCGTCTCGATAGCACCAAAATCTTTTTCCTGCGCCGATGCTTCCAGCCAACAGGAATGCCGCACCGCTGCGCAAGCTGTTGGGCCCATCAGCGCGTCATTTACAACGTACGGTGTCACTACCCCAGGGGAGCAAGCCGCGATTCTCTCAACCATGGCATTCGAGTCGGACGATTTTCAGTACCAAATTAATCATTTTCCAGGCACGCCAGGTCAAGGGACTCGAAACATGCAATCCCCAGCTTATAACCTCAAGTACGCGCAATCGATCTCGGCATTAGCACCGTATCTCGATAAAATCCAAACATCCGATGTAGTAGCCGTCCTTGACCTTTTGATCCAATACACAAATTATGACTTCGGTAGCGCCGCCGTAAGTACCCTTTTTGAGTTATTTCTTCCCCTTTCATACCCTGGCCCGAGTCTTAAGACATGTTGAGGAGTAGAGACACATGTCTTGCTCCTCAAACATACCATCAGACTCAAGTCCATCATAGAAGAGAAACGCTGAATCCGAGATGATATAGTGGTTCTTGACCTCGCAGTGTGATCAGAGTGTCAGGGATGGATTGCAGAGCGGGAGCGCAGCTGGCTTCAGCGCGTATATCGCATGTATTGGGACCACCGAAACGAGCGACAGGACTGCGTACTATCAGCGAGCAGTGACTGCACTAGGGGTCACGACCTCGTAGTGATGATCAGAGAACAGGGCTCCAGCGGTCTAGAAGTCCGATGGTCCACTCGCGGTGAGTCCGCGCGGACTGCGGGAGGATATCTGTGCTTGTTTTTAAGCTTGCTTGAAGTATTTTCAGTGCATAACTAGGTAATTGGAATTCTTCAATCCTGTTGCGTTGTTTCTCGAGTGTCTTGAATGAATCCGTGATTGTCCTGTAGAAGATCTTCATTGCGCGTTGTGTGGGCTTTGCAGAGGTTGAGTACATCAGATCAGGAGTGAATGCCCAAAGCTGTTCTAATGTAAGTCAAGCGCGTATAAAGGTGGCAGAGACCTCATTGATTCACTCACCACCAAAGCTGGCTTTGAATCCTCAGCTTCGCCGGTGTAGGCTAGAAATTTATACGCGGCTTGATCCTCTATTGATGCCAAGAGCTGCGCACTGACAATTTCCTGTACTGAGCACGTCTCCCAATCTAGTCCTCTCGAACGCTGCAGCGTTACGCTCCATTTGAAAAGCCGTAGAGAGTATCTATCTTTCTTGTCTTTGACGCCAACGATTTCACGGCACGAGACACAATTGAGAAGCCCTTGATCATCTGTGGTCTCGAAGGATGTTAGTGTATGTACCTTTAGATTAATCTTGAGAAGCTCATTAAGCTTGAGAGCTACTCAATGAAATGGAAGAGTTTTCCGAGACAATGCATCAGCCGTCAGAAATGACATAACCCATATAGCACCATGGATGCAGAGGGTAACTCAAACGCTGATTGACTGTGCTTTTCGGGATTCTTCTAGGGCAGTTGTATCGGCGACCTTGCCATGGGACCGAGTTTTCGGATGCAGGCCTCCTTCTTATTGCCCTTTCTTGGCATTCGGAATCGTTCGCGAAAAGAGAAGGAGAGATTGGCCTACCTCGAGGCCAGTACAATCGATGTCCGAGATAAGAAGTTGGCTGACATCCACAACCCCAATGCCTGCTGTGGGACCTAGAGCATTAGCTGCTGCGTAGCCTTTGTTGTTACCAGCATTTTCATCATCTGAAATGTTGACGCTGGGTTTGTGACAATGCCAAAAGTCCATCATGTCTGCCCAGCCTGCACTGGGGAGATGCTTCCAAACCTTGACATCATTGACTAACAAAGTGCTGCAGGACCCACAAGCGACTTGGGTTTCAGATGTCAATTTGAATGCCGGCCATGGGTCATTGCAATCGGTAGCTTGCTTGGCTTGAGGGGGAAGTTTAGCAGCGTCGCTGACGAAAAGGCGAAAAGATATCTCCCTTGTGGTCGCTGGAGGGATCTTCAGGTTTGCATCGCTGACTACCAGACAGGGCAGCTCTATGGTGGCCTCTTCATCCTCGTGCTTCAGCTTCAGCGTTCTCTGGTCATGGCACAGCCACACACGCGTCTCTGCGTTGCAATTGGATGGCAGTATCGCGAAAATCGTGACTCGGCGGATGTTGAGTAGTAGCTCCGCATAGAGATAGATGGATGACATGGGGCAGAGGCGAGTTGGAACTAAGTCTCAGCATATTGTTTCTCACACATTGTTTTGCATTCGACACCGATAGTGCCTTTTGAATGAAAGCAGTAGGAAAATGAACAACCCACGATGTTGTGATGCAAATGTTCAGAGTGTCGATCTGCCGTCTACGGTGCGGCTTGAGACGCCGTTGAAGTGGGGAAGTGGGGGAGTGAAGCTCCCATGTCTCCAAGTTTTGAATAGAGTATAATATATGTACTTGAATCACTTATCCAACCTTTTCATCTGTCTTCAATTTCATCAGTTCTTCAAAAAAAGGGTATAACCACTGTTCAGTTTATTTTAATCAAATTCAAGCATGTTCTCATCGTTCTCCTCTTTCTCCAATCCCTTCAGTGTGCCCCGCTTCTTAGGAGGCAACCCTGGGACAGCAATCGACATTGAGTCTGTCGAGGTCCACCAAGTCGAGACAAAACACGAAAAGCGAGCACGAACGCTGAAGCACCTACTTAAGCTTAACCATGCAAATCACTCCATTGTCTACCACAATCTCCATTTCCACAATCACATGCCCCATGTGCGAGCATCCCTCCTGATATCTATTTCTTGATGGCTGAGCTCATCCAAAAATCAGGTACTCGGATCCGCTTATCTCGTAGGAGGTGACTCGGATCATCTCAATGCTATATACGAGAAAGAACACAAAGAGCTGGAGCCATGGAAGGATTCGCCAGGAGAGATCTCTACATACGATTGGCGAGATTACTTGGGTGATCGGCAGTAGGAAATGGATTTCCCTGCTCGTCAGGGCTGGCTGAGTCTTTCCAGGTACCAAAGAGCTTACGTCGACTTCTTCGAAGACCAACTCGTCCTCAATGGTTACGATTGGAGAAAGGTGCTGAGCGAATATCTCTTCACCGGCAAAGAGCCACTCATAAATTGCATGATCGCTGGACGTATGTAGTTCTGCCTAGTCGCAGGGGCCTTGCCGTGCTCAAAAGCTTACGATTCCACAGTTGGCCACCCTCTCATCCACCTAGGCTACGCATTCGAGCTTTCTTCTCGCGAATTGGCCATGGAAGCACTCGGCCTAGCTGCTACCTCATACAACTTCCTGCACAAATACCTCGACAACCCCTCCTATACAAAGCCATCCACCTACAGCACCTCCTCCCCGATTGAGATCCTTCAGAAGGTTGCCGAAGACAAGCGCTTCGATAATTTGTTCGACCACCAAGGCGCCGACAACATTGAGCCCCTGTTTGAAGATCATGAGACAGCAGTGCTGGAGCATTGGAGTGCTTGGCAATTACCAAACCCAAAGAAGCAATTCGAAGATAGCCAGTATGCAGCCGTTGCTCTATTGGTTGCCACCCATGAGTATGGGAGCAGCAGATCGTACGACTTCTTCCTTGTACACTTACTCACAACAAGCCATGCTGTACGGATCCTTCTCCCTCTGATACCCGCAAAGTTCCATGTGGCACTGGTGAGGCAATGGTGGTTGCTTACATTGGCGGTGTATATCGCGCAATTACGACCCAAGATCGAGTTGAGGAACATTACAAAGTATGATACTCAAGGCAAAGATTGGATGTGGGTGGACAAAGAAGCCGTGGAGGGAAAACGGTCTTTAGATGCGCATTTTGTAAAAGGGTTAAGAGCTATGAAAGAGGCAGCACAGACATGGGGAGATAGCGAGCAATATTACTTGAAGGCGGCCTGTAGGCTCGGAGGAGAATTCGATGGATGGGGCGGATTTGGGCCGTTGGAGGCTGGCGGACGTAGGGGCAGTGCGACCGGACATTGATGAGATGAGTTGAATGATGTACAAAAGTATGTGGAAAGAGGTCACATGATGAAGGTTCATTGATTAGCATCGTAGAGACTAAAAGCCGTAGACGAGATTCTCTGGTTTGTCTAAGTACTTGTGACATTATGTGCCCATCGTATCCTCTATTGAACTTGAATAGTCTAAACTTTCAGTCGTCTTGGCCTCGGATCGAGAAAGCAGAAAGTTACGAGCAACGTCATAAGCTGGTCAGAGCCCTCCTCTCCTTCTCGCCCTTCCTGAGAGACGTGCGGGCTTCCTGCCGTCTCTCACAAGGTCGAACCCAGCAATAGGTTTAGTGCTTCTCCCTTTCCGACCCTCTGCTGACTGTTGCGAGACTCTCAGATGCCAGTCCAGCAGGAAGTGTGGCCGCACATTCTTTTCTGCTGCCCTTCATAGCCCAAGGAATCTCCCACTTCGCCGTCTTTCCTGAGACCACCAAAGCCTGGTCCTGCATGACCTTGCCTGAATCGCGAAAATCGACTTCTTTGAGACGAGGACAATTCCACACAATGCTCTGCACGTCCTCCCCTGTAAGCCAAGGGGCATTCCGGATGTGAACATATTCAAGCTTAAGCAGACTGGTAAGATGCCGTATGAGAAAGCTAGGTTGGACAGACTCGACATCGGCGCTACCCTGAGTCCAGGATCTTGCGAGGTCCGAGCCGAAAACCATACCAGAAATAGCAATGGATGGGTAGTTGAGGGAATCGATCAAGTCATCGTTGGTCAAGCCCCCAAAGTTCAGCTTGAGTTGCCTGTTCCATATTAGCAAATCGTGTCGAGAGGCGATGCCTAGGAACGTAACCTAATGTTTCGGCACGCTGCAAGAACATGGACGACAGGTCCTATAGGCATAGAAAGACTTGTCTTGTTGAAGAGATAGTTGGTGCCGGGATGTGTGCCCTTATATGTTTTCTTCTTAGGCTCCATTAGCTGCTTTGGTGGGGCCTTGGCAGCATACAGAGGTATCTCTCTATACTTCCATTCCCGCCAGCTTGCAAATCCATTGGCGCGGTCCTCCGCCTCTTTGCGGTCCGAAAGCTCGAACACGCGCACTAGATCCGCATAGGGTCTTGAATGTGATACAGTAGTCACAAATTGAGCAAAGCGGTACGTCGACCGGAACTTCGGACTGTGGTAGAGAAGAACCACCGCTTCTTCGGACAACACCGGACTCGTAAGTAGTAGGCATAAGAGAGTCTCTTGAGGCAAGTAAGAGAAGATGTGGTCTTTCACTTCGGAAGCTATAGTTTCAAGCATTGGTTTACCCATGGGTCCCATCGCCTCTTCGGCGGCTGATGAGACAGACATGGTGAGACAGGAAGGAAACCGATGTGTTTTCGGGGTCTTGACAAATCATGTAGATGATCAATAGGATTTTGAGAAGAGGCGAATCTAGAAAGAGTATGTGTTGTTTTACGTGTACCAGTGGATTGAGCCAAGATGATAGTGGGAAGTGAGGCTCAACTTATACTACTGTAGTATCCGCAGCGAACCATTACCAAAAGTGAGATAGTTGGAAAAGGAAAATCCAGTAGCAGGAAACAGGTGTTGACTCATACTCAAATTAAATCATTATAATTGATGAAAAAGAGTGAATATCTCCAGTCTTTGAGTGAGTGAGTGAGCGAGCGTCCCTCACGTCCTTGGTCACTCAAGTCATCTTATCATAGCGCAATGCGTGTAATTGGAAAGCTTGCTTTCTCAATGCTCAAGACTTGAAAACGAGAATGGATGCTACGCTAAGAGGCTAGTGACCAATCAGATCATCGGATTTCACCATTTTCAGTCTAAAACACACCTTATTTCTTCATTTTCGATCTAAACGCGGGTGCACACGGGTACGTCCAAAAGAGGAAGCTGGAAAAGAACTTCAAAATCCTCAAATCTACCTTTTTTGATTCCTTATATTTTATTAAAAATATGATAATAAACTAAGTACGTAGAGTTATAGAATTACTTATACGCTTTCAAACAACGTAGTGTAGACGAAATTTGATAAAGTATTCGTCTATCGAGCTTGCGAGAAGAGCCTCTCCGGCAGGAGCCCTCGGAGAGCCCTCGGAGAGCCCCCGGAGGGTCAGGGGGGTTTTAGGGGGTCTCCCCCTACTTAGTATATCAAATAAATTATAATATCTCTCTCGATTCTTAAGGTTAGATCCCTTAAAATCCCTTAAACCCTTCAAAGCTCTTTAAGGGCTCTTCGAGAGCTTCTATCGAGAGACTATTAAAGTAAACTTAAAATTAATTAAATATTATTAAAATAATTAAATTTCGAGCTTACTTTAATAGCCTTTCGATAAAAACTCTCAAAAAGCTTTTAAAGAGCTCTCGAAGGGTTTAAGAGGTTTTAGAAGATCTCTCTAAAAATTAAATAGTTAAAAACTAGTACTCGATAAGCTTTTTACTACTAAGAAGCCCGCGCCTTAGCATATATTTAGAAAGCTTATTTTCTTAATATTTAAAACTTAAAAATAAAGATAAATGCTACGCTAAGAGGCTAATAATTAATTAAATTATCAAATTTTATTATTTCTAATCTAAAATACATCTTATTTCTTTATTTTCGATCTAAATATAAGTATACGCGGGTATATTCAAAAGAGAAAGTTAAAAAAGAACTTTAAAATCCTTAAATCTACCTTTTTTAATTTTTTTTCTTTTATTAAAAATATAATAATAAAGTAAGTTTATAAAGTTATAAAGTTAATTATACGCTTTTAAATAGTATAATATAAACGAAATTTAATAAGAAATTTATAAAGATATACTAAAATCTAAGATTTTTATTCAAATTATTAAGCTTACGAGAAGAGCCTCTTCAATAAAAGCTCTCGAAGAGCCCTCGAAGGGTTAGAAGAGTTTTAGAAGGTCTCCCCCTACTTAGTATATTAAATAAATTATAACGTCTCTCTCGATTTTCAGAGTTAGATTCCTTAAAATCCCTTAAATCCTTCGAAGCTCTTTAAGAGTTCTTCAAGAGCTTCTATCGAGAGACTATTAAAGTAAGCTTAAAATTAATTAAATATTATTAAAATAATTAAATTTTAAGCTTACTTTAATAGCCCCTCGATAGAAGCTCTTAAAAAGCTCTTAAAGAGCCTCTAAAGAATTTAAGAGGTTTTAAAAAGTCTCTCTAAGAATTAAACAATCAAAAATCAGTATTTAATAAGCTTTTTATTATTAAGAAGCCCGCGCCTTAGCATATATTTGAAAAGCTTACTTTCTTAATACTTAAGATTTAAAAATAAAGATAAATATTACGTTAAGAGGCTAGTGATTAATTAGATTATCGAATTTCATTATTTCTAGTCTAAAATATATCTTATTTCTTCATTTTCGATCTAAATACGAGTATACGCGGGTATATTCAAAAGAGGAAGTTAGAAAAAAACTTCAAAATCCTCAAATCTACCTTTTTTAATTCCTTTTCTTTTATTAAAAATATAATAATAAAGTAAGTTTATAAAGTTATAGAGTTAATTATACGCTTTTAAATAATGTAGTATAGACGAAATTTAATAAGGTATTCGTAAAGATATACTAAAATCTAAGATTTTTATTCAAATTATCGAGCTTACGAGAAGAGCCTCTCCGGCAGAAGCCCTCAGAGAGCTCTCGGAGAGCCCCCGGAGGGTTAGGGGGGTTTCAGGGGGTCTCCCCCTGAGTATATCAAATAAATTATAACATCTCCCTCGATTCTCAGTGAAATATAACGTTTCTCTCGATTCTTAGTGAAATATAATACCTCTCTCGATTCTCAGGGTTAGATCCTTTAAAACCCCTTAAACCCTTCGGAGCTCTTTAAGGGCTCTCCGAGAGCTTCTGTCGAGGGGCTGTCAAAGCAAGCTCGAAATCAATTAAATATTACTTAAATAATCAAATTTCGAGCTTGCTTTGATAGCCCCTCGACAGAAGCTCTCGGAGAGCCCTTAAAGAGCCCCCGAAGGGTCCGAGGGGTTTTAGGGGATCTCCCTGAGAATCAAAAATAGGTAAAAACCAGTACTCGGCAAGCTTTTCACTACTGGGAAGCCCGCGCCCCAGCACATACTCTATTTAGGGCTGAGGCTTGGCACGCAGGCTCACACTTTCCCGCCTGCACGCTGCATTCCTTTGTTTCCTCAACTCGTGCTCTTTACTCCCTCTGTGTATTGACCGCTCTGACAACCAAACCCATGCCTGCGCAGCTGAGGCAGACACCAGGCTTGTCTGCCCCTGCCCAACACGCCTCATCATGGCAACCACGTACGGTTCCGACGTCCCTAGTATCAAGGTCGAAAATCCTATGAATGGCCAGACGCCGCACATCAAACCTGACCCTGAAACTATAGGCGCTTCACCTGCTGCTCACACCGATGATGACCTGTACGAAGATGCCGGGGATCTCGACTTCGCGGGCGCAGATCAGGACCTTTACCTTACAAGGGTCCCCAAATTCCTTTGGGAGCGCTGGTCACAACTTGACGACAGCCAAGAAATCACTATAGGTATGGTCAGAGTCGAAGGTGGGTTAGACAAAGTTAAGAAGGTAAGCCATAGCCCGTTCACTTTGCGCTTTATGTGGATCTTTGTCACTAATCATGACCGGTTTAGATGAGCATCTTGTTGTCACCAGATGTAGTACAGAATCGAGACCTACCAAGAGAATACAATATGCAGATCGTTGAGCAAGATCCAATGAATACTTTCGTCTTCAGCGAGAAGGATCTCCCGGGCTACAGAGCATACTCGGCCGACAGAGCCCCGCCACGGTTCAAGGACCGTAGGAGGATCGAGAAGACTCGGAAGTCAGAATATAAGTTTCGCAGAGCCATCCCGAGTAAGTGCATCCCATTGTGGAACTCTACAGAACTGATACTGTTCACTGCAGAACAGACAACGCTCGTGGGACAAGTTCGTACTGAGATCAATTGTCTGCCGGTTGAGAACAAAGACTATATTGAATACATGAAGAGACGAGCCAAGGAAGAGTCACTGTCCAAGCCAAAGATTCATGTGCTGAACGCCAGCGTTGGTGGAAACACACTTCAACCCGGAATATTGGGAGCTACTGTGGACACCAGCGCTTTCATTGTAAGGGTTCCTTCATCTTTCACTCACAACGAATGGACTGACTGGATTATTAGACAAAAGCTGGTCCGAGTCGTGGGAAGAAGCAGGCCAACAAAGCTGTCAGGGTTCCGGCGGACGTACTCTTGGACCAAATCATGAAATGCTTCGAGAGATTCGATTTTTGGGCACTTAGGTCCTTGAAGGTTGAGCTAAACCAACCCGAAGCCTATCTCAAAGAAGTTCTCGAAAGGGTGGCGACACTAACAAGAAGTGGCATATATGTTGGCACATATCAGCTTCAAGCATCGTATAAGGACACGGCCAAGTACAACTTCAGCAACGTCAAAGCAGAGCAGGCGCCTGAGGTCGCTTCTGATTTTGGAGGAACCGATGACGATGATGAGAATGTCAAGATGGAGGATGTGCTTCCTAAGTAGCCAGGGTCGTCGTAATTATTATCAACTGTATGGTGGACTTTGGCATGCGCGCTGGATTCTACCTTAGCATAGCGATGGCGTTTTGGCAGGAAGCGGACAATGCTCACATTTTGGGATTCAAATAATTCGGGCCTCTTCACAATCCTAGTCTGGACATGTAGGCACTTTCTATACTCATTTGTGATAAGTCATATCTATGTCAAGTACCTTCAACTTCTCACTGGGAGACTGAAACATTCAGTCCTTCTACGCCCTAGCGTGACACGCTAAACTGATCCTTGTCACTTTCAACATCAGTTCCTTTTCCTTTCATCACTTCGTAACTACCAACTTCTCCTCGACACTCTCTTCTCGCTGTGGATATAGCCAGGGAGACATAGCTCATACCCACGATAGAACATGTCGGAGGAAGACCAAGAACTGTTAAAAAAGATAAGCAAAATATCCGGTAAAGACTTGTGCCACAACATCCCAGTGCTTTTGCTGACGAGCATCCAGGCCACATCAATCTTCACAAAACTCAGGCAAATCCTACGCAAAATGACCCGAACAGTGATTTTGCATCGCCACTACCTTGGAACAGGTACACACCAGCTTCGTCAGGTAACTTGAACGCCGCACCTTGGAGGTCACCACGCGTGGCACCGTACACTCGAGGCCGAGGCCGAGCTGGCAGGATTGTGGCAAATCCTCACCGGAACCGTACTCTCGTCCTGAATAACAAATCCGGGGTTTCAATCCCCAGCGCGAAGGAGCCTAGTCCAGACTCTACTCCATCAAGTACAAAGGCCATTCAGTCGGAGGATGAGGAACTCATCCTTCGGCAGTCAACAAACCGCTGGGTCACCAAACGTGATCGACATATGCAACTCATTAATTCCTCGGTATACGACAAGGAGACCCCAGCCCGCAACAAAGCTATTGAAGAATCTCGACGACAAAAGGCGCTTCAAAAGGATCAACGAGAGAAGCAGAAGATTAAACGACACTTGAATATCCTACCTTCCCGTGCAGGTCAAGCTGCCAATGCTGTCCATGAAGTCTCAACCAATGGGCTAAGATTTCATGTCGCCGATGGCGGAAGCAAGCTTGTTCGGATCCGCGGTGAGAACCATGACAACAGACTGCATTGATTCTCTCGCTCACAGCTTCTAGGCGCAACTGACTCCGCGAGCACGACCCCAAAGCAAGCTAACGTCGGCGGTGTTACCTTCCTACGAAGCAAGAACGGCAACCTCTACCGCTCGGGCATTGTCAAAGCCGAAAGGTAAGTCTGCCTCCTAGGTCGAACGGTCGATAAGTCGCAGCAGAACTTTCCGTGAGAACACGAGTAGCTGACCACTCTAGGGCCACGGGCAAATTCAGGAAGATCGCTGAACCATGCAAACGGTTTACTTTAACGGGTACCCTTTTCTTGATCCCTTAGTACCTCAGTCAAAACATCGATGTTGATGCCAAGCTGCATCTCCTCGTTGGTTCAACGTTCTGGGCAATACTAATCATGAGTCCATCTTCATTTAGGACATTGCCCAAAAGGCCCACTATGCCCTTACACACATGATCCACTCAAGGTTGCCATGTGTAAAGATTACCTCCAGACAGGAACTTGTCCGGCTGGTGATTCCTGCGACCTCTCGCATGATCATACACCCGAGCGAGTACCTGCTTGTTTGCATTTCCTACGTGGCAAATGCTCCAACCCCTCATGTCGCTATGCACATGTTCGCGTCAATCCATCGGCCTCGGTTTGTAAGGGCTTTGCCGTCCTCGGCTATTGTAGCAAAGGAGCAAACTGTTCAGAACGACATGTTCATGAATGTCCCGATTACGCTAACAGTGGCGTCTGCCGCAAGCCGAAATGTCACTTGCCGCATGTTGATCGGGCTGGACAAATCAAAAAGCACGCTGCTAATGTTACAGATCGCGCGAATGGCTCCGAGAGAGACGATGATAGTGACATAGTAAGTGATGACGACTACGACGAGATAGATAGCGATGATGTCGATTCAGACGGCCTGGAGGAGGATGTGATGCAACTTTCAGATGAAACAGCTTCCCGCGCTCTATCTCAGCAGCAAGACTTTGTTCAATTCTAGAGTCTATGGAATTATCATGGGAGAAGAGAAAAACGTGCTTGACGTGGCGAAACTCCCTACCAATCGCTACGCCTTTGAGGTCACAGCAAACTTGGAGAATTTCCTCCTATATGTGCATCACCAAGGGTCCTTCAAGGTTGTGTCTTGCAGCAACCCGGCAGAAGATGAAGCGATGAGGATCGTAAACATCACTAATGCCATCCTGTCTTGGTTCTTACTTTCTTTCGGCTTGCGGACGTATTCCCTTTTCGATATTTCTGTATGGGAAAGAGAATGGTGGATCATGCGATTTTCTAGATAGCAATTACCAGAAAAGATTACTCCGTTCGATGTGCCTTGCAGATATCACTCATATAGCTTATGCGTGCTCGATTGCTCTCGCTTGCCCGGCTCCGCTTCGGGCGAAGCGCTACAACAGCAGCCTTTGTCAGCCCGCTCAATATTCTGACAGGTGCCGGATTGTTCGATAGCATCAAGATTGACGGTTTCTTATTCGGAATGCAGACACCTTATACGGCGGCTCCCTTCATTGGGCCGAGGTAACAACATTGACGGGGAATCTCGCGGACAGAGATATCTCGAACGTATATTGGCGATCTACGTCCAAATGATTGCGAAACGCGTCTTAAGAAAAAGCAAAGGGAGCTCAGGAAAACAGCAAACAAATGTAGATTTATCCGTTGTATTACCCAGCGTTCTACACAGGTACGGGTGTGGGATTGAGAATTAACTAGCCCAAGCTGCATGGGTCGACTGAATCGGCATACAGTGTCCCCAGCAGGCTTTCACACTCTTAAGTGAATGGACTGGAATGAGAGAAGGGCTCAGTCGCTGCGATGATGCAGTATAATCAAGCTTGAGATGCATTGGTCTGAAGGGGTAGGAGGGAGAGCAGACAAAGGTTTTGGTATAGTTTATTTGTCAAAGAGGTACTTGCATAGAAGCATGCGTCTGCGGCGGCCCGTAAGGAAGCCAGCATGAACACACGGGACACGGGGATCTTTGCAGCTACCTTGGACTTGTAGCAATCTTAGGAAATGAGAGTCTATATCCGACGATGGACTTTCTGTTTGGTAGAGTACAACTGTTTTCCAACGAAACTGACGAATCCAACGTGCTTCCTTTTGCCACTGTCCGCAATGTATCGTCATCACATGGCCCTTGGTGGGAGAAGGGAAGAAAAGCATTAAGCACATGCGATGGCGGATGGGCCCAGGGGACAAGAAGCAGATAGATAGTCTTTCGTTAGGCAGTTATCTCCAGCATGGAATTTCTGGGAGCCGTATGAGTAGTAAATGTGGAAGCGAAAGAGGAAATCCATGCCCGGGTCCTTGCTGTGATTCGCGAGAGGGATGTGATTGAAAGCCAGGGAAGTTTTGATGCTTTTACTTCTTTGCACCTCGGGCCAATCAATCGACAGCTTGTTGCATCTCTGTATCTTTGCATCTTTGTATCTTTGTATCGGTGACCTCGACTCTGGTGCCTTGGTCAGCTTGAAAGGGGGATGGATGATGGGTCAGAAGTAAGGTAGAAGATGAGTCGCAGGAGAGGCTGCAGACGGCAGAGGGAGGTCATGCAGCAAAGCATAAATTCCTAGATGCGGGGTTGGAAAATAATGCTCAGCTGCTGCTTCGCAATTCGCTACAAAGATGAATTTTCAATCCTTTCCCGTCGTAAAGTAGTCATATGCAGGCCTGCCCAAACTAATACCCATCCTGAACCCCCAAAGTATTGGACAGTATAACTGCACCCAGATTCTTCTGCCCGACCAGCTGCTGCACTCCTGCACACTCCTGCACTCTTGCACTTCTGCACTCCCTACACCACTCTTCCGCACTTCAATTTCTACCTACGTCGTCATCACCCTCATCTCCTTGGCTCATATTCTCTTGCTTTTCCTGAGGCCTTACTCCCCACGCTAAGGGTGCAGCAGCAGAGAAGAGACCAAGAGGAAAGAAAGCCGCGATAATCGATCACATATTTGCCCCATCCCGTCCTATCCCATCCCATGCTTTGCCTCGCTTGATCTTCCATACGCCGGTACGGATCGCCCTACAAGTTCCCTTGGTGGCCCTCAGGTGGGAGGGTCCTCCATCATCCATGACTGTTGACGGATTTACGGACGCGTGCATAACTTAGCACTAGTCATAAAGGAAAACGGCTGCTATCTGCTTCACTACCTCTTTCCCCAGTCTCTTCCTGGCTCTGATCTCCGCACATCCTCTTTTTTTTCTTCTTCTTCTGCTTCTTCTTCTTCTTCTTCCATCATCATCATAATCATTATCATCATCATCATCATCATCATCATCATCATCGTCATTATCATCATCATCATCATTATTTTTGTTCACTTCTAATATCACTATCACTATTATTTTTATCCCACAGCCATCTATTTCCAGCACCAGACTACTGCCAATCTATTGAAAACTCAACTTTGCTCGGGTCTGGATCGGCACATTGGCCATCATTATTGACAATCCCCAAAGTCCCCCCCCCTCCCCCTCCCCCCCTGCCGCCTCCGCTCACCGCCTCTTTGGGAAATTCTCAACTTCAGCAAGAGCCATGGCCGGCTTGGCCACCAGCAGCCAGCTCTATTCAAATGAGCCTCCGAATCCCCTGCATATGCAGTACTGGCGGAAAGGACAAGGGCAACTTGACCAAGAAGACGACTCTGTTCTCGACGACCACATCCTCGACTCTTCTTCTTTCGACGCCGCCGCAATGGACAACCTCCCACGAAGACAATCTTTTGCCAGCAGTGCCTCCCTGCTCTCTCCCGCACAGCAAGCCTGGCCCGATTTCGCTTACAACAATGATGCCACTCCTACTGCATCGTTGAATCATCAAGCGCCTCTATTCTCAGAGCACATCGCCAACCATTTTGCACCCAGGATTCCTCAATACCCAAATTATGCCAGCCACATGGCAGCATGGAATTCCCAAGGCAACGTGGGCTCCGATACCTCAAATGCTGCAGCTTTTACCGCTTTCAATACAGATCTTGACGACGTCAAACCGGAAGAGCCCTTCAATCATGATGTTGCCCAACCATCGCACCAGAATCTTTACGGAGGACTACCGCGCCCCTCGGCTCCAGATTATCGCCACGATGCTGTATCAGCGGCTTCTCCTCAGTGGTCCACATCATCCTCAGACGCGGTGGAAAAGATACCCAGGAGCGGGCATGTCCAAAGTCCGACGTTCAATCACAATGCACCGCACTTGAGGCGGGACGGTGTTCGCAAGAAGAATGCTCGTTTCGATATTCCGGACGGTCATAATGTCCACACCATCGACCTCTTGATCGCCGCTGCCGATCCGACTAATGAAGAGAAAATTAGGACACTCAAGCAGGAGAAGCGGTTACTGAGGAACAGGCAAGCAGCGTATGATGACCCTCACACTGCTGGGCCTCACGTATCCACACTGACGCCAATCTAGTCTCGACTCTCGATGCCGCAAGAAGCATCACACTGAGAAATTGGAGGAAGAGAAGAAACAGTTCATCACCATGATTGATAGGTTGGAGGAGGATATTCAGAACATGCGGCTACAGGAACAAAGGTGGCTACATGAGCGCCAGCAATGGCATCAATTCACCGAGGGTCTCGCAAGGGAGAAAGAGGAGCTTGTTCGACAGCATACGCTTGAAACCGCCGAGCTGCGCAAGAAAAACAACTGCTTAGCGGAGGAAATGCAGAGGCTTGAGAGCATGTCAGTGTCCGCTCAACCTAGCTCTGCTGGGATATCCGCCGGCTTTCCTGATTTCGAGCATCTTACGATGGATACAAGTTCGTTTGACGACTTCGCTTTCATCGAGAACCCTATCATGAACACCGAGCCCAAAAACGAAGCATCCCTCGTGGTCATACCAAAGAAGGAGACTCCACCGCCTATGAAGAATGAAGATACTTCAGCTGCTTCGGGACTTCTGTTGATGCTCCTGCTTTGTGGCGCCTGGGTAGCGTCGAATACATCGTCAGCAACTGCTGTCATCCCGCGCATGCCAGATGATGTCCGAGTGGCATCCTCAGCGATCCTAAAGAACATCTACAAAGATGCGGGCCTCGAGCCTTGTCATACTACTAGGCCAACCTCCAAGAACCCTGGTATGGCACAAGCGGGACCTTTTTCGAGCCACCCAAACGCTTCACCTCTGGCAGCGTTACACAATGACCTCACGACCCCAACTCAGCAGCAAGAGCGTGAACAGCTCTTCTCTCTCTCCGCAGATCAGTACAGTCATATGATGTCTGATGATCTATTCGCCGACGAGCCCGAGCTGAATGCACCACCCTCTGATAGAAGAAACCTTGGAGAACTTTTCGCGGCCATCCGCGTGGAGAAGAAGGGTCCCGCCGCCGAGGTTTACACCAGGTCACTCATGCGAAGTGAAGTGCCCGCAAACCTGGTCAGGGACTTCGCAAGAATGGTCGCCGAGGGCAGTAGGCGGAGTGGGGAACCGCTGAGCTAGCCCTTACGAAGCAGCTTTTGATCAATGTTTCGACAAGCATGACAGACGACAAGTGACTGATGGAGGAGCGGTCTGTCGCTGTCGTCCACTTATCGACCACGAACTATGAACTACGAATCTCTTTTGTCCTTTACGATGATGATCATGAGCAAGACCTATATCGCGTTCAGCACGCAACCACAGACCCCGCAAGGGGTAAACAATCGTTGAGGATGGATTGATGAATTATTCAGTATCTGCGATTAAGCGAGCATGTCAATGATACCTACTTTCTACCAGACCTCACGGCTCACGACCTACGGCAGAGGCTTTCTGCTGTTCTTCAGCGAGCGTTGGGATTGTTTGATGATTTTCTTGCTTTCGAGTCAAGCGATATGAATAGGATTTGAGGGGGTTCACCCTCCACGGGATATTGACTCAGTGACTTTGATGAGACCGAGCTACGAGAGGAATGCGCATAGCGCGCGCTTTTTGTTCACTTCTTGATGTCTACTTCTAGATACGAGACAAGATTTTAAGGGTATGAAGCCCACGGTTTGATGTCGAAGAGCTTAGCCAGTGATTCGTCCTCACTCAAATCTACATACTCTTCCCCTTTATCGAAATTTCTTCACATATACACGTAAGACGACAACGTAGATACCCAAGGCTTTGTGCCTAGCAAATTCTTTGTTTTTTCTCTCGTAGATACATAGCCCGTGCCTTTACTATTTACACCGACGCCCACCACGCCCCTAACGCCAAATCCAAACCCGTACCTGCGTCCAGCGCCCATGTACGTCGCGCATCAGTCCAGCCTGTGACATGACGCGTGCATCTCTAAATCGAGTCCTTCGTTTTCGGACTATACTTGTCCTTCCATATCCTGTCCCGAAATAGCAACGTTAGCCTGGACTCGAGATCAACAACATCGGTCGGCATCATGAATCCAGGACTCGGCGAGCTCGCTTCGTCCTCCTACTTTCCACGTTGTTCATTTGGATAGTTCGGTTGGGAAGCGGCGATAGACCAATCCTTCACGCCGCAGTAAGTCATGTTTAGGGTGGAGTGGTCTTGGAGTGTGCGAGCCAATCATCCAACATTCGATCAGAATGAATGAAACAAGGTCACCCAGCTGCCCGAACAATGGTCGCAAGGCTAGCACGACGAAAATAGTATATTTCGAATGGGATGAATTGCCACCCGAGAAGGAATACACGGAAGATAATGGGTTGCACGATAGGGAAGAAAGGCTTACCAACTGTTTCCGAGGGTTTTGGATCCGTTCTGTTCGGCGAGACGGTAATATTGCGCTGCTGTATACTAGATGGGATTAGCAGGATGCGTTGATGCCTGATGTGATGTAATGTGATGTGATGGGATGCGATGGAGTTAAGGGGAAGGATTGGCCTGGAAGAGAGGTAATCGATGAAGGATCGAAGGTCTGCCTGGTTGAGATGCGCCGCTGGCTTTGGGGATATGTTTGAGGGATCACAACCGCTTTTCTCACAGCCAGTCAAGCAAGCCGCCAGACAGCAGTGAGAATGTGAGGGTGACTCCAAATCTACCTGGGCGATTAAAGGAAGAACGAAGTGTTCTCTCCATACTTTCGACTTCTCAAGTGTCCTTGTTTGCGGAATGAAAAGAAAGTCTGGACTCACTCTGTCCTTTGGACCACCTTGCCCACTTTCATAGCACCGCGCAACCTCATTCATTGCATCCGTATCCCCAAGGTTCGCGGCCGTCTCGTAATACTTCCTCGCCGCAACCACGTCCTTCTGTACGCCCCAACCGTGCCTAAAGCTATTCGCAAGCTCGTAGATCGCAAGCACCAACTCTCCCTTCGCAGCTCCTCCCTTCTTCATACCGGAATGGAGAGCAGCGGACTCAACGGATGCAGAAGAGGATGCTGCTGCGGATAGATGCTGTATGGCGAGCGGAGGGTTAGGGGGGACTCCCCAGCCATGGCGCAGAGCAAGACCGAACATAATCTGAGCCATAGCGTTGCTATCTGCTAAACGTCCGAACATGGCTGTTGAGTTGACTAGCTCCCCTGATTCATGGAGACGAATGGCTTCCTGAATGTTTTCATCGCCCTTCGCAGAGCTGACGCTGCGGGTCGTTCCTGGACGAACGCTGAGACTTTGCTCCGGGTCTGTCGGTGTTTCCTGCGGGAATCTGTCTTGGTAGAACTTCTGTTCACAAGTCACACCTTTCGGCTGCCCATTTAGGGAGGCAGGCCTGTTGTTCGGATTTCCCTTTGCCAGCATTGTCGCTCTTTCTTCCCACTGTGCTTCCTTCTCTTCACCCTGAACGGCGACATCTTGTATATGCGGTAAATCCGTAGGCACATTGACAGAGCTCGAACTCGGAGTGCGTGATCTGTTCAAATGTAGCCTTTGGGACAACCTTTTCTCGCTCTTGGGTGAGGTCCTGGACTGTGCTGACTGTGTAGATGCATTGGAAGAGCTTCGCAGACGGGAAAAGTGGCTGGAAAGACGATGCTCGCTCTTGTGAGGTGCGGGCTCGGCAACTTCGCTGGTAAAGCTTGGAGGGCTGATCAGCTCTTGAGTGTTTGTGTCTGATCTAACAAAGGTAAATCCATCAGCAATAGGGTCGGGTTCCGGTGGAGACACCACGCTTGGGGTGACATCTTCCTTGATCTTTTCTTTCTTCTTGAGGATATCTTTGAGCGTCATGTCGTCTGCTGTAGAACGGAAAATGAAAAATGAACGACGCTACAAAGCCGCGATCCAGGGGTTTGCTGGTGATTGTGGTAGTGGTAGTGGTAGTGGTAGTGAAGAGGCAATTGGCCCTGTCAGCCTGCCTAACAGCGATTCACTTGATTCGCAGAATGTCTGAATAACTTCTCAAATGCCTTTTTGGTAATGTTGAAGGCATTGGGGCAAAGTTGAACAATAATCAAAAGCCAAGCCACTCCGTTGTTGACGTTCAGTTGGCTCAGCCTTGTTAGGGAATTTTGGCGTTTCTGCGTCTCCCCACTCTTTCTGTTGCATGGCCATGTTACGCTACCAAACAATCCCTTCTCATGCACTAGATTTTCCAACCCCAGGAGCCCAACTGCGACACTGACACTGTATGTGCCAAGACTCATGGTTTGAAGCAGCTGTTCTTATCAAGAGATGCATTGCGATGGCGGATCCGCCGTAAGACACTTCAATCCCTTTTGGCACAAGCTACATGTTTTGACCAACGATGTATAGAGCACAGCATCTGAGTTCCAACTTCCTCGAGCTTCCCTCCGAGATACGTAATCGTATTTACACCCATCTTCTCGTCGACGAGGACACGTATACCGAGGGTAAGGACTCAAAGTTCATTCGTGATGACATTGGTGGCATCCTCATCCGGGAACTTTACCCAGGATTCTACAAGGCTGGCTCTAGACGGAGGTCGTACTGGACACCAGATTGGGATCCAATCCACCATAAAGAACGGAGAACCACTTACACTCTGGATTCTAAAGTCCAACTCCAGCTTTTCTACGTGTGTCGTCAGGTTTACAACGAGGCCTCTTACATCTTTTACGCACATAATCGCTTCTACGTGGATACAATAGACACTTTTGTTCCATTCCTTGAAGATCGTCCGGTCCATGTTCGAGATCTCATTAAGACGATATCGATTCCGGTGCCCTACGGAGTCCAAAAAGACGAGGGAGGGGAAGATATCCCGAGATTCTGTAATGTCAAGGTATCGACCTTTGAAAAAGCATGTGCAGATCTGGCTACCCGCCCAGAGCTCACGGCGAATCTAGAGCAATTGGATCTCCGCGTCTGGGACTATTATGGAGAGGAGGAGTACACCATGGTAGGCAGTCTCGACATGGATACTGTACGGATATCCACATACTGCGCAGGAGAACTCGCCTCGATGGCGGACCCTCGGATAATGACTCTGTCCTTTTTCGATTGGCACCATTCAGCCATGGCTGGGCCTGAAGGACAGTCCGTCTTTGAGCCGCTGCCAGATCATATTCGCCGAAAGCTTCAAAGGCTTAGGGACATGTCTAAGCTTGAAAACGATAACGACGACAGTGGTGGGGATGATGGCAACGACGATCGATGAGGACGACGGCGACGACTTTGAGGAGAACCTCACCCATTCAGATGGCTTCCAAAGGGGCATAATGCACGCCATGCTCGGTAACAGGCCGCATCTCACACGTTAATTCCGGCCCCTGATACGAGCAGCAGTTACGCCCCAGAGGGGAAAAAGTGGTTTGAGGGCGCTGATGTCTTGAATTCTGTACTACCAGGGGTATTATACTAGACGAGTCAATCGTAGATGACTGAGGCATTTTAGATAGAATCTTAGCGGACAGAAAATGTCTCTACCCTCCTGGGATTTTCATTGCTTTTGAGGACTCTAACCGCAACAATTGCCATTTCTCTCGCCACAGCTGAATCACGAGCAGCTTCTCCTACTCTATAATCTACAAAATCCCTACTCTCCTACAACGGGTTGATATCTTACTTCTTGAGGGGGACTTGCCCATTATTGGCCGTGATCTTGCATTCTCTGAAGCCACGGTGAATGGCCGCGTCCAGGCTAAGGGCCATATCTTCCTCACAATACTCATGGCTTTTTACTATGCACGATTGTTATTGCACAGACTTAGTTTTACTAGGTCAACTGAATCAGCTCCCGTTCCAGTGCTCGGGCAATCTAAGTCTGCAGGAGCAGGTTTGCTTGATCTGGCGTTGGTACTCCATAGCTTTTGCCTCGACAGACCAACAGACGTCCTTAGGCACAGTACACAGTATGAAAAGCCAGTCGACGACAGATGCTTGCATGGAAACCGTCTTCAATGTAGCGATGAGCTGAGCGATGTCTCTGTTCTATGTCATGCTAATTAAAGCTCCAAAGCTTTCCAAGAAGGCTGTCCTCGTTGGCTGAATCTCCATCATGCTTCATAAATATCTTCTTAGGTATCTCATACTCAACTTCTGGGGGCTTCTTGATGTCCTTCGAGAGTTCCGCGTCGAGCATCTATGATGTATTAGCGATTTCAAACCTGCCAAATCGATCGAAGACACTTACGGTACCATAGGAGTAATCCAGGAAGTCTTCCAGATTGTATGCTTGCTTTGTGAACTGCTCCGAGATTATTTTTGCGATAGTTGCAACATTTGGATGGTAGTGCGACTGGAGCATCTGGATCTCCCATAGACTGCTCTCTTGTGCATGTGTCTCCATGGGATCTGATTCCCCCTGTCCAAAAGGATCTCCCCACGTTTCTTCGTCTTGATCACCCTCGCCAATTCTGTGGATCATGAAAGTACAGCTAGGGTGACTCTTCAGAAGGTTATATATCCAAGGTACTACAACAACAATCCCTGATGGTGGTGCGAAGAGGCTTAAGCGGGCGAGCCGCTTGACAAAGCTTGCTACCAAAGCTGCTGGCAGATGCGTCGATGCTAAGAAGGTGTCGAGAAGTCTGAAGAAGCGCGAGCGGTGCTTCGAGTGGAGTATTCTAGAATCAAGTAGAGAGTAGAGCTTCCGATAGAACTGGGGGTAGTCCAGGTTCTTGTGCTGGATCAAATAGAAAAGACCAGAGAGCGAGAGTAGCGAAGTTGACCCGCCAACATTGAATGAGTCCGTTAAAAAGTCCATGAGTAATTCCACTCTCAGAAACCATGGCGCTATTCGATATGACATCAGCTCGAGGATTGTTTTGCGCTGGTTTTTGCTAAGGTCTTGACGCAGCAGTGCCATCCATGCCTTCTGAGCCTGCTTCTTATGTGCAGGCATTGAGTGTATATCGCGCTTTGATTTGTTGGGAGACCCCACGTAAAAGATTCCAATCTCTTCCTGCTGTTCTGGGATCGATTCTATGACGGCCATGATAGTGAGTATGTTTTGCACAAGAGCATCGGGACCATTGTTGGAGGCGAGGTCACTGGAGCGGATCAGCAAATGTCCGGTGAGGGTGGGCTTGACACATACGCCAAACAGGCAAAGGTATAGTATCGGACGTCGTCGTATTTTTCGACATACTTTTCCACGAATTCGGCCCTAGTTTCTTCGGCAACATTTTCCTCGATCAGAGTCTGGACAAGTTTTCCGAAAAGACCATTTTGCCAGACAGCGTCTTCAGATTGATTCAAGTGTAACGCTTTCTCCTTGACTAGTCGCATAACGACGGTCAATGCCGTGCTCTGTTTACCAGTTCCTCCGTTTCTAAGCAACCGCAACAATCCTTGCTCATAGTCCTGCAACCTCTCTCTGAGCCATTGCACTATTGTAGCTTCATTACCAGAGCCTTCTCGGAGCTTGCTCAGATTTCCTCCAGCCATCAATTTACAGAACACTCGACAGAGTGTCACCGCGGCAACAATGTCTTCGTCCAATGCCCCAACTTTTTCTTGCAAATATTGTAGTAGCGTATGTATGTTGTTGTAATTGGTCCTTGATTGAAATATTTTTTCTTCGAGCTGCAGAGCTTGATCTTGGAAGTCGACTTCCCGGGGGGAGTCCACTGTCACCGTCCGGCTCTTCTTCGAGATACGAAATGTTTCATCCTTTCGCTTCCTCTTTCTTCCAGGCTCGACCCTGCTAGTGGTAGCTTTGGCCATTATCGGCTGCATTATGTCCTGTGAATGCTCGGATCTAGAGAAGTCATGGCTCCCGAGGTACTTTTGAAGTTGATAATGCCAAGATAGAAATGTACCGCCTAATCTTATCGAGTCTAGGGTGACCGTCTTCTCTTGCCAAGACCACTAGAGTAGGGCTATTCAGAAAAGGTCGCTTCATATCACATCAAGCCCTCAAGCTTTCCTTCCACGACCACACAACCACAATGGCATCTCGATTGGCAAGGAGCGCTGTCGGTAAGTTCTACAAGTTCGGCATAAGCCGTTTCTTTGGCATTGAGTATTATGCTAATCTATAGTAGGTGCTGCCCGAGTCCGACCAGCTATCCCAATCCGCACCCTCCCTTCGCTCTCCACCACTCTGACCTCAAGGCGATATGCATCTAACGTCCCTACACAAGAACCATCGAAGAAGGCACAGTCAATCATTGATGCTCTGCCCGGCTCTTCTTTGATCTCCAAAACAGCCATCTTGTCCGTTGGGGCTTCGCTCTCAGCCTTCGCCATAAGCAATGAGTTCTATGTTGTCAACGAAGAGTCAGTTGTTATGCTTGCGACATTGAGCGTTTTCTGGGCTGTGTTTCACTATGGCGGACCGATGTACAAGGACTGGGCTGAAGGGCAAGTGAATAAGATCAAGAACATCTTGAATGCTGCCAGGGAAGACCATACGAGCGCAGTGAAGGCAAGGATCAACAACGTAAAAGAGTTGGGAAGCGTGATTGATGTTACAAAACAGCTGTTCGAGGTCTCGAAGGTAATCCAATCCTGGGACGGATCTGTAAATTGAGGATCGTGGCTAAAAAGTACTAGGAGACGGCCAAGCTCGAAGCTCAAGCTTTCGAGCTGGAGCAGAAGACCGCATTGGCTGCTGAAGCGAAGTCGGTGCTAGATTCGTGGGTCAGATATGAAGGTCAGGTCAAGCAACGGCAGCAGAAGGAGCTCGCGGAGAGCATTATTAGCAAGATCACAAAGGAGCTGGAGAATCCTAAGACTTTACAACAGATCCTTTCGCAAAGTGTAGCGGACGTTGAGAGTATGTAATTGAGACGCTCTGTGTCACGATTCCTGTAATGCTGACAACCGTGCAGAGATCGTATCGTCCAAGGCACAATAAAAGACTTCTCGAACTGTATGTGTACTCTATCTTTGCGTCGATTAAGTAGATACAACATTGCCCAAAACGTGAGCTACGTACTTTGAAACGCCTGTGATCTACCTACAGGGATAGAAGGACCTTCCCAATACTCATTTGCAATTGCCACCCAAATGCTCACTGCTGGACTAACGTGGCCATGAAGAGGCGCAGAAGGGGCCGCAATTTATTCCCAACGCCTTTGGATTGACAGTAACTCGGAACCGTAGTCAGGTCAGTGGAGAGGCTGGTAGAGGAAGGTTCCTGATCTCAGAGCATTTACATTCTGGCTGAAATCCCACCGTACCCGATCATCATTCATCACTTGACTCGCTATGGTACTGATCTTGAGACAGTGATCTGTTAGGAGATAGTGGTACGGCCGGGAGTGTAGTCGGGTTTCAGCCCTATCAAGCTCCAAAGACGCTTGGGGCCATTCCTGAACACATCAAAGTCACCATCACTGGACGCACACAGGTACTGAGCGACCGGCAACATAGGCTGGGGTCAGAATTCAGAATTGAGGAATTTGAAACCAACGATGGAGTCTCCAAGTACTCGCGAAACCCTTGCAAAGCTCGAGAACCCGTCAACCTCTCAATCAGAGAAACCGTCCGGCTACAATGATCTCCTACGCCAGATCACCTCCAGCTCAGATCCCTCCCAAGTGCCACCGAACCTTATAGCGTTCATCGACTCGATACTAAAGGATTCTTTGGGCATCATAGCGGCGAGACCGTTACTAGCATCAGCCGTTGAGGCCATCGGCTCAATCAAGAGTACAGAGTCCAAGATTGAGGTCGGGACCCACGCTTTACAGATTTTGGAGTCAAGGGTTGTTTCATTTGAGGAGCAAGATGCTATGATACGGGAGATCACGGCAGATGCCTATCAAGAGCAGGAAGACTTTATTGACGCCGCGAAGATGCTACAAGGCATACAACTAGAATCATCACAACGTAAGATCTCAGACGATGCAAAAGTCAAGACCTGGATGCGGATCTGCCGACTTTACATCGAAGAGGATGACACTACGAGCGCTGAAAGCTACCTGAACCGGGCAAAGAATCTACTCTACAAAGTGGAGGACCCAGAACTCAACCTCATGTTTCATCTCTCTCAGGCTCGAATACTTGATGCTCGGCGAAAGTTTCTCGACGCCAGCTCAGCATACCATAGCGTCAGCTTCAACGTGACACTCGCCGAAGAAGAACGCATGCATGCTCTTTCTGCAGCTATCAAATGCGCTGTGTTAGCACCCGCAGGCCCACAACGATCACGTACTCTCGCAAAGCTATACAAAGACGAGAGAGCACCTCATGTCGCAGAATTTGGCATTCTAGAGAAGATGTTCTTGGATCGTCTACTCTCGGTAGAGGAAGTCGACAAATTCGCAGACAGCCTTGCCCCTCATCAGCTTGCAAGGACGAGTGATGGGTCTACGGTCCTTCGAAAGGCTGTTATAGAACACAATCTTCTGAGCACTTCCAGACTGTACAACAACATCGGGGTCAACGAACTTGGCTTACTGCTAGATCTTGATGTTGAGCGAAGTGAAGAATATGCGGCTGGCATGATGGAACAGGGACGCTTGACAGGCAGGATAGATCAGATTGACGGGATGATCTTCTTCGACGGTGGTGAAGGTAGTGAGGAGAGGACAAATGGAGGGCAGGCTGGTAACGTGGTTGGTCGTGACCTTAGGAAATGGGATGCCAAGGTGCAAGGTGTTGCAGAAGAGGTTGAGCGCGTTGCTTCTACGTTGCAAGCTCTGTATCCGGTTCGTTCGCCGTTAACGACCTGTGAAGTCGAGCTGACAACATGATAGGATTTCTCGACTGCCAATTTGGTCCATTAGCGAAGATTTCGGCATTGCATTGCGAAGGCGCACAGATCTGCATACTGGCGATAGACAAAACGGTGGCAAGCAACCCCCTGGCGTTACGATTGATGACTAAAGAGACACCAATGAAATGCATATCATGAGTTCGTCATGATGCTGAGGTTTCCTTATTGCAAACTGATCGCATATCCATGTGCCGAAACATTTCCTAACTTCTCAGAGATTCTCACAATACGGATCGTCATTTGCCCACCCATGCTCGGATCAGGCCTTCGTCTGTTACTCACAGCCACAACGTGTTCAATAATGCCAAAGCGATTTGATGACCTTTTTACGGGCCACGAAAGTGGTGCCGTAAGACTATTCGCTTCAGTACAGGGGCAGCTGAAGCTGCACGCTGGTGGAGTCTGTAGCCCGAAAGATTCTTTCTTTACCGTTGATTTCTCCACAACATGAGAGCATAAGGGCACCTCTACCGTACCTGAAAATCTGTTTGGGGCTTGAGATGCACCACTCCTCCTAACATGACGACTATCTCTTCACAGAATGCCCATCTACCCCGGCAGTCGTCTTCGTCTCCGCCTTTACACCCTCGAGCTGGCGCAGCGCCCGTATCGTCGCAGACATATCCGCAGTATGCCAAATCGCCCGCGCAGTCATTTGCCTCGCCGCCACTGCCTTCTCGACCTGGTACCAAACAAGCGACAGCTACTTCCAATGCGAAAATCCGTCCGGACTATCACCTGCTTCTTCGCCCTCAATATATTCCCCAGGAAGTGGCTCTACTTCCATGTCCCCAGATGCTGAACGGAAGAACAATTGGGGCAAGCGCTTCGCGGGCAATATGCTCATTGGCCACGGGGTAAGAGCGAGCACGACTACAATCACTTTGTCCGAGAAGCTACCAATCAATGTCTCGCCAATGGGGAGACAAGAACCCAGTAACCCCCCTAAACGTCTGAACACGGGGCATCTTCTTCGCTGGAGCCTCCCATTACTGGAGCGGTCATTGTTCAAGGTCTTGGTGAGGTCATGACCTTCACACGAAGATAATGATAGAAGCTAGAGTTCTCTACCCGAGAAGCAGAAAGAAAGCAGAGAATTCACTTGTTGCACAGGGTCTAGACCGCGTTTCCAAAGAAGAGCATGTCATTTTGCAGACTACCAGCGTCAAAATGGTCAAAATTAGCATCGAGCACAAGCTCATGGGTATTGACGGAGAACTCAAATTTTTCCAAACACGTCCATGTCCTGTACTACAACGGGGCTCTTGCGCCAAAGGCTGGGTTTGCCCCTAGGTCATGGCCCGTTCCGGCCTTGTCTTGTCGTCATGAACGCCCCTTTCCGAGTTGCAAGCCATTTTCCATGAGTAGTACATGCATTCACAATCGATGCTGCGCCAGACTCGTAGGCAGCAACTCAATACGCATCTTACTGAAGAGAAGCTAATTCCGAAAGCTCTACGCCAGCAGCCGCAGGCCAACTATATCTCGAGCAGATGATTTTGCCATTGCTCAATGCGATGATCCGGTATTGGAAGAGGAGTGCTCAGACTCGCCCGTCTATCTTTCGATGTTGAGCCATGTAATTGATCTTTTGCCAACGAAAATGTCAGCCGGCCCAAGATTGGCTCATCAATTGCTGGCTGAGAGCGCAGCTACAAGGTGGTTCTGCGACCATCATTCTTCCACAAGTCTCCAGCAACCGGATGATTGTATTGATCACCGGGATAAGTTCTTGGAGAATACAAGCCTGGTCTCAATCCCGAATTCCCGATGGAGCCCGCCTAGTTTCTCAAATGATCAATATCTGTTATTCCAGTCACACCACAGGCTCCTATCCTGGCTTGGTCGCCATAAACACTGATGCAGATGCACGACAAGAAGATCAAACCTGGTGAGCATGCGGAAATTTTCCATTATCTAAATTCCATCATAAACCTCCAAGCAATAGATCAGTTGTAAAAGAAAAAGACGTTTCAATATCTTTGATGGCGAAAAGCATCAAGATAACAATCGAAATTGCGATAGAGGCGAAAGAAGTCGAAAGGAAGGTTTGGGAGATGTTTGATCCCAAAAAAGTTGGGACCGTCATGTCTCTGTATATGAGTGAAATAATAGTACGGCATTTTTGAACTTTTGCACGAGCCAGTTCTCCCTTTCACCATGTCGAAACCGTCCCTTTTGGTCTCTGGCTGCCGGCCTGATCAATCTTCAAGGTCTCTTAGCTCCCTCTCAGGGAGCAGAATATTTTTCGGGTAACCCTCGAAACTCCGATCCCACTCCCATCTTCGAGTCATTTCTACACTCAGTTCACCCTTGAGCATCTCCACTACATACTGACCTATGATTGGAAGGAATTTCCAGCCCTTTGAATTGATGAGCAATATCCGGGACAAAGTGTTTGGAATTTCAGACTTACATGGAAAGAACCTAGAGACAAGCCCGTCAGCAGATGCTCATCAGAAAGAGGAGGAAAGAGGCTCACCAGCCGTAGCTATATACAGATTCTGACAGCGAGGGTGCGGACAGATGTACCAATTGTTGTCCTGAGTAATTCCATCCCTGTGTTGTTTGTAAGAAAGGCGGTGGTTGGCTCCTCCTTGTGAACGGACGCGTACCAACAAAATCTATAGACATCGGGCCTAAGCCCTTTTATCTCCTTGCCGTATATGCCGTTCAAGACCCTACCAACTTCTTCACGAATACCGCTGGGCATATTCTCCGGCGATGTCCACCGACTTCTTTCGATGCTGGTGAGCGGGACCGATATTGATTGACCAGAAGCTGGGTGATAGACAGTGTTACGAAAAGGGACATCGCGTATGAATTTGAGCTGCCGTTGGGGCGTGGGCGGCATTGTTTCGCCTGCAAAAAACAAACGCGGTCAGAGTTACCTCCATATTTTATGATTCGAAGGGTACCATACCCTGGACTTCTCCCGCATCAAGGACAAAGGCCGCCGCGTTTTGAAAAGTCTTTGCTTGCTCTTCGGTGAGGTTAACAGCCGCTTCGCAGACAGCGCAAGCTGTAATTCTATCTCCGACCTGGAGTTCCAGCTGCGTAGGAGCACTGTCTGCAAGTAATTTGGCAGTGTATGCGCCTGTAGACAAGATTACCTTTGAGGCGCTGAAGGTTCTGCCATCTTCGGTCCGGATGCCAGTGCAACACCCATTCTTTAGTAGAAGATTTGCCACAGGAGCGGAAACGTAGTGGACACCATTCTCCACAGCAGCTTCAGTGGTGGTTTTCAGCGCTCTTGCGGCCTCAGCCCAGCCTGACGACGGATTCCAAAGGATATCGTCCACATCGGTGAAGTCGCCGTCGGCATACAACCCTTCAAATCTAGTCTTCATCTCCTTTGGGCTAAACAGCTCAGCTTTGACATCAACTCCGAGTTCCTTGTAATTATCAAAAATCTTTTGGACTTTGCCGAATCGTTCATCTGTGGCCTTGGCAAGACCAGATTGGTGATACCACTGCATATACAAGGGGTCTTCCCTCCATCGTTCTAGAGTCTGCAGGCCAAGCTTGCAGTAGAAAATGTCACTATAGTCTGACCTGACGATCTTGTTGATATCATGCGAGGCGGCTATCGGACAAGGGAACGGAGCTCTGTCTATCAGAATGACTGTTGGTGCGGGCTTTTCCCTAGACAGACTCAATGCAGTACTCGCTCCAAAAACACCGGCGCCGACTATGATATACGAAGAGGCCAATGGAGACATTTTGGTAGGCTAAAGCACGAAGGTATATTAAGACTGGGAAAGAACCACCAAGCTTCTACCACGGTCCAGCGGAAATCGACGTCATTCTGCATTACCTCCCGAAAATGGTCAAAGATAACACAAAATCTGTATCTCCACCAAGGGATCACCCGTCAATTGAACTTGGTTTAACATAGAGCATATGTTGATTATTCTTTATTTTTTGACTCCTACATCCTCTTGTTTTGGAAGTACCTACGTAAAAGTGTCATGAGAACGAGGGGCTCCAAGCCCAATCAATAATTCGGACTTTTGAGGACTGTGCTGTACTCCATCCATTGAGCTCCTCTACTTCCTTCATCCTTCCCGGAATGCGTGGCCCCATGGAGCTGTCATTTCGTCGTTAATCATGGAGGTGATGTTGATCCTCTCTGGATAAGTTATTGTTTCTTGTCTTTGGAATAGAAGAAATTGGCACCTAGATGTCATTAACGTGACGTCTTGGACCAAATCAAATAACCGTCTGCTTACCAACAGCCACCAAATTGTTCTCATCTGCCCACTCTCTGACTCCTGCGCCGACCTTCCCGTAACCCCAATGCGGCCTATCCTTTGGTTTTGTGAGCTCTCCTTGTATGTCGTTCTCCGTTGCCGGCGCTAGCAAAATAAAGACATAGCGGTGATACCCCGTCTCCGGCGGTGGTGTCGGTGGTAAATAAGGCATGATCTCTTGAACGCTAAAAACCTCCGGTTCTTTCGTGTAAAAGAACGACGAAAGCCAGTCGAGAGCCCCGTCAGAGTAGGGAGACTGAAACGGCAAGGTCAAATTTGTGACAATCCAATGGCACATCTGCGCCATTACGGGCTCCGCCCGGGATGTCGCATCAGGGTCAGATAAGACGAGAGTATACGTGGTATTGCTTCTGAGAGTGCGAGTTGGGGCCATGGCCGAAGCGTCGATGTTGAAGACTGGTGGGAAAGTGACTTTCTTTGGCTTGATTTTGTTTCCCAGATCTACAGTCTTGTGTCTTGATGCGTAGGAGAGCGTGACGTAGACTGATGGTTGGAAATCATCGAGGACTGTAAGAATGTAGTATCAGCATAGATAAGCACTGTCCGTTGCCTAGAGACACAACAAGGAAAGTGGATGTAGATAATCACTGCTGAAGGGGTAAAGTCACAGCTGTAGACGCATTGGGGATATAGTTACTATCGGGGATGATTGCAGCCTTTACGAGAGCTTCGTGTACACTCTCGCTTGCTGTAGCAGGCCGGTCATTGAAGGCATTTTGGAGGGGAGTCCAAGCTC